TGGCTTAGACTGTCAAAGAGGCAGATCAATGGCAGAACCAGCACAAGTCAAACACAGCCCTGGCCAGTCAGCATCTCCTAATACAGATGAATTGAATCACTGCATCTCTATGAAGAAAGCTCAGTGTCTCCATGCAGAGGGTGGAGACACTGAATGTCAGTGATGCACACTGTGCAGCAATTCCACAGGAAGCACCTCTAGCAGCCATCTGAGGAGTGGCCATGGAGTTATCCCTAAACTGTAATGTAAACACTGCATTTTCTCTGAAAAGACAGTGTATATTGGGAAAAGCAGCAAAGGGAATGATTTTTACTCACCTGAACAAATACAATAAGCTGTAGTTGTTCTGGTGACCATAGTGTCCCTTTAAGATTAGGAAGATATGTAGTGCTAGGCTTGTGTGACAACATACAGGGTTAATTGAGAATTTTTAGGAATTAAAAATTTTGGACCAAAAAAGCCCACCTTATACCATAGCTGACTTTGATAACTTTTCCAATTTATTTTCGCCTTAAAGTTTGAATTCACTCTGAGTTCCCAACAATTTACATTTTAGTAAATAACCCTTTAGGGCAGTGTTCCCAAACCAACAGTCCAGGATTGATGTATTTCCCTGTTTTATTCCACTGGAGATACTGACAAAACCTGGACTGTTGGTGGTCCATGAGGACTGGGTTGGGGAACACTGCTGTAGAGGAAAAAGACACAAAAAGGTGCTGGGAGGGAAAAGATACGTAGAGAGGCTGGGGAAGAGGAAACAGAAACACACAAAGGAGTTGGGAGAGAAAGACACACAAAGTTGGCAGTTTTTGTTTCGGGTGGGTGGGATGGAAGTAGCTGGTCTTGCCTAGGGTTCAAAATAATATTGCACTATCCCTGCCCAGAGCACCTCCTAATCAGTATTATAGGCTCCCTGTTCCTGAGGCCTTGTAATTTTCCTGACCTGCCTCTCTACTGATTTATTTCCTGGTTTCTGACTTCGGCTTCCCTTCTGAACACGTTTTCTTGCTTGTCTCCTCCCTCTTGTAAACAGGCACTTTTTTTCTTATTAAGGCGCCTGTGCTACCAATGACCTATCAGGGCCCTGTTCTCACCTTCGGTTGCCTCCGAGGGTTGTGATTGTAAGGGAGTGCTGTTCCGCTGAAACGTAGTTCCTCATCAACACTCAAACTCTGGCAGGTTGTTAAACTAGGTCTATATGACATCTTACCAGCACAAGACCTTTTCCCTGTTGTGGTCTACTATAGCCCAGGAGTGCATTCGGTTACTTTTCTCTGATCATCTGATTATTTACTTAGGTTTATATTTTACTTTTCTCATTTCTCCAGTCTTGATCTAGACTTGTTTCCATGTGTTGCTGTCACTATTCTGGGCATGGCTAGTGATATAACTTTTCCCTAATAATTTGCTTGGTCTGTGCTAGGTGGAGACAGTTCCCTGATGTCTCTGAATGCGTACCCACAGGACCCAAAAATATTGACTGTCCCAACGAAAGCAGGACAGTTGGTAAGTCCGAGCTTGAAAACAGGCCAAAATCCCTAAAGGTCAAAAGGATGACGTAAACAGGCTGTGTATCCGCCTGTGATAGTCCCGGCGAGTGATCTCCCCTCTCCGCAGCACCAATTTCTTGCAAACCATAAATCTCAAATCACAAAATGTGCCTATAATACCAGCTCTGTACCCATTACTGTACAAAAGTAGAGTTACCTCATCGCCCAATTTCAACTACATCTAATTTCTACTAGAAAATAAATGTGGGGACTCTAATTAGGGGCAGTGTGATCACTTCAAGACTGTGGATGGCCAAGTGTGAACCAGAATAATAAAACCACCTTTATTTTTTGTTTGACTGCCCTGATTGAATTAGGAAAACTACCAAGTTTCCCATGTTATACCCCCAGGGCACACAGAGCCTTTCATCATGGCTCTACTCAACAAAGGAATACACAGCCTCTCTATGGGCCCAATCTGCCTGGCACTGGGTTGGTGACGTCATCGCCGCCAGCAACACCTCCCTCCCCCCTCGCCTCCCCTCCCCCTCGCTGAGCCGTCCAATCGGAAGCGTCCCTCCAGCCGGCGGCTGTCCAATCAGAGACGTGCAGCGAGGGAGGTGGTAGGAAGCGCCAATTCAACGCGTCCCACCTCTCCCTCCTCCCCGACAAGATGGCGGCTATTGCTTTGTTTGTGGTTCTCCGCCGTGCAGAGGGTCTGTGATCCGGGGGGAGGAGAGGGCAGGCCGGGCAGTCTGTAGACCAGCTAGGAGCAGAGCGAGGGTCCCCGGACACGAACACCGCGGAGCACGTCACCCGGAGGGAGATCTCACAGAGCCGGGTTACAGGCCTCACTGCCGCCCAGCCTCTCAGCATACTCTCTGCTCCTCCCTCAGGCTCTCGGGGGCATGGCCGGGCGCCGGTGAGAAAGGCCGAGCGGCGGGTCGGAGCCTGTGAGAGAGATGACAGCGGAGCCCAGGAGGTAGGCCTCAGCCCTGATTACCGTGTGCAAAGCTGGGAGCACATTAACACACGGCATGCTGGGTAACATATATAATACACGGCTTGCTGACTGTAATATATAATACACGGCATGCTGGCTGTAATATATATAATACACGGCATGCTGGCTGTAATATATATAATACACGGCATGCTGACTGTAATATATAATACACGGCATGCTGACTGTAATATATAATACACGGCATGCTGACTGTAATATATAATACACGGCATGCTGACTGTAATATATATAATACACGGCATGCTGGCTGTAATATATATAATACACGGCATGCTGGCTGTAATATATATAATACACGGCATGCTGACTGTAATATATATAATACACGGCATGCTGACTGTAATATATAATACACGGCATGCTGACTGTAATATATAATACACGGCATGCTGACTGTAATATATAATACACGGCATGCTGACTGTAATATATAATACACGGCATGCTGGCTGTAATATATATAATACACGGCATGCTGGCTGTAATATATATAATACACGGCATGCTGACTGTAATATATAATACACGGCATGCTGACTGTAATATATAATACACGGCATGCTGACTGTAATATATAATACACGGCATGCTGACTGTAATATATAATACACGGCATGCTGGCTGTAATATATATAATACACGGCATGCTGACTGTAATATATAATACACGGCATGCTGACTGTAATATATATAATACACGGCATGCTGACTGTAATATATATAATACACGGCATGCTGACTGTAATATATAATACACGGCATGCTGACTGTAATATATAATACACGGCATGCTGACTGTAATATATAATACACGGCATGCTGACTGTAATATATAATACACGGCATGCTGGCTGTAATATATATAATACACGGCATGCTGGCTGTAATATATAATACACGGCATGCTGGCTGTAATATATATAATACACGGCATGCTGACTGTAATATATAATACACGGCATGCTGACTGTAATATATATAATACACGGCATGCTGACTGTAATATATAAATACACGGCATGCTGACTGTAATATATAATACACGGCATGCTGACTGTAATATATATATAATACACGGCATGCTGACTGTAATATATAATACACGGCATGCTGACTGTAATATATATAATACACGGCTTGCTGACTGTAATATATAATACACGGCTTGCTGACTGTAATATATAATACACGGCATGCTGACTGTAATATATAATACACGGCATGCTGGGTAAAATATATAATACACGGCTTGCTCACTGTAATATATAATACACGGCTTGCTGACTGTAATATATAATACACGGCATGCTGGGTAAAATATATAATACACGGCTTGCTCACTGTAATATATAATACACGGCATGCTCACTGTAATATATAATACACGGCATGCTAGGTAAAATATATAATACACGGCTTGCTCACTGTAATATATAATACACGGCATGCTAGGTAAAATATATAATACACGGCTTGCTGACTGTAATATATAATACACGGCATGCTGACTGTAATATATAATACACGGCATGCTGGGTAAAATATATAATACACTGCATGCTCACTGTAATATATAATACACGGCATGCTGGGTAAAATATATAATACACGGCTTGCTGACTGTAATATATAATACACGGCATGCTGGGTAAAATATATAATACACGGCATGCTCACTGTAATATATAATACACTGCATGCTGGGTAAAATATATAATACACGGCTTGCTGACTGTAATATATAATACACGGCTTGCTGACTGTAATATATAATACACGGCTTGCTGACTGTAATATATAATACACGGCTTGCTCACTGTAATATATAATACACGGCTTGCTGGGTAAAATATATAATACACGGCATGCTCACTGTAATGTATAATACACGGCATGCTCACTGTAATATATAATACACGGCATGCTCACTGTAATATATAATACACGGCATGCTCACTGTAATATATAATGCACGGCATGCTCACTGTAATATATATAATACACGGCATGCTCACTGTAATATAT